CTCTCTCTCTCTCTCTCTCTCTCCCTCTCCAGAACTCGTCACACAACTACATCTACGCCGTCTCTCTCTCTCTCTCTCTCTCTCTCTCTCTCTCTCTCTCTCTCTCTCTCTCTCTCTCTCTCTCACACACACACACACACACATGCTTAGTCGGACCAGATTAGAGAACTCAACATATTTACTACACTATCTACCGCAGATTCCCATACAGCCCTGGAGACCTCAGGATAACACACTGCACGAGAACAAAACAGCTAGTCAATACATAACTCCGGGCTGTCGTTAATTACGGAAACAAAAAGACTATGTACATTGACGCTCACAGCGTAAGCAAGCCCCAACCTCACATCGACAGAATAACAGGGACTGTCACACTGGCGGCCGCCGGCTGTCAGAGAGGGAGTTCACGCACTGTGACAGAGAAGAACAGAGAACCGATAGGACAGGTTAGGAGAGCGACGAAGGTGGGATCGGGGAACACAATACAGAATTGGGACACCACAGAGATAAGACAGAGTGGGATCGGGGCACACAAAACAGACTTGGGACACCACAGAGGATAGTTTAACCCGCCCATGAGCAGAAATTCAAGAACGGGTTAACCACCATTATCGTAGGGATTCGTGGCAACGAGCTACACCACTATCGTGACAACGATTTCCTCCTGTTCTCCTAGCCGGATGGTCAGGATGGCTTCGGATGGTTTGGGCTTAAACAAACACCATCTCATGGGCGGATAGCTGCAAGCTCAAAAGAGTACCCATTAACGAGTTACGGACATGGAGACCAACTTCAAAGATCAGACAACAAGGGTAAAAACCATTTTTTTGCCGATTAATACGAGGGAACTGGAAGACTCGGTTTCCAGCAGGTGCCGCTTCCCACCAATAGAAAGGAGCGGTTTAAAAAAAGGAAAGACAAGACGGGTAGCTAGATGACAACAACAATGTCCGCATTCCACTACACTTCTAGTGTCGTAGGAGAATACGCTACCTGCATTGTCACGAGCTTATCGTCCACCTGCACTTCTTTGGTCAAGAAATCTGCTCCGATCGTCGCCTTGTACTGATTACTGAATTTCTTGTTGACATATCTTCAGAGGAGTCAAGGAGATTGCCGAACAGAACTAATCCACCCCCCCGGCCCCCGCCCAAATTGCACTCGTCTTGCCTTCATAACGCATCCATCCATCTATGACATAGTACAACTGGTGACTGGGCCGCACTCAGTGATTCTCCCTCAGGCAGTGCAAGTCGACAACTTTTTCCCTCAAGGTATGCAGGGCAGAGAACTCACAAATGTGACTGAGCGTAGAGAATACCAACGAGGATGAGCGGAAAGCATTCTTCGAAAGGCAAAAAAAAAAAAAAAAAAAAAAAGGGCATGAGGTGCAGAAACCAGATGAATAATGCACAGGAGAAGGGGCGGCGGAGGCATACACAGAGAATATTGCACAGGAGAGGGGGCGAGAGAGACGGGGGTCAACACACAAGAGAAGGAAGACGGGCGCACAAGAACGAAGCATATGATCGACATGATGACAAGGAGCAGAAAGACAGGTGACTGGGCCGTTCCGTACGCAGGGATTCTCCCTCGACCAGTGCGCCTGTCAGGGGATAGTTCACAAAGGGGAGGGAGGAGGGGGGAGGGGGGAGACCAGCAAGGAAAGCCTACACACGGTGAGCAGAATGCATTCGGAACAATGCGAGAGAGACTGGGATCACAGCAAACAGAACAGGCGCACGAGAATCAAGCAGATGATCATGACGTTGATAAGGAGCAGAAAGACAAATCGAAAAGGAGCGCTGAGGAGCAGCATTGGAGAGAGAAAGGTTGGACCGCAGTGGCGCCAGAAGAGTCGAGGAAAGGCAGGAGACGGGCTAAGAGATGCAGAAAAGGATGGGTACGGCGGGGCAGAAAGATCGGCTAGCGAATAGCAAAAGGGCGGCAGAGCAAAGGGAAAGAAGTGTAAACAAAGGACGTACTCGTCCGTATGAGGAGAAGGGAGTGGCAAAACGAGCTAAATAAGAAGCGCGGGAAGGAGGAGATGCGGAATAAGAAACTGAGAAATAAGGTACCGATATAAGCGGTGGTGAGATGAAAAGGAATGGGAACGCAAGAGAAGGACATGGTTCGCAAAGGGGAAGAAGAGAGAGGGGGAAGGGGGGGGGGCAGGGGAGGAGCGAGGAAAGCCTACGCACGATGAGCTGGCTGTTGAGACAAGCGCGAAAGGGTGAATAGGCAAGATGAGAGGGAAGAAAAAGGCAAAGACCGATGTAGGAAAAGACAAAGACCAAGAAGGAATGAAGTACAGCAGAGGACGCAGGAATATACTGTAAGAAGACACACCAGGGACTGAACAAAATGGGAAAACGGGAGACGAGGGCAAAAGCGAGAGACGATAATAAATTGCTGGGACTCGGGACCGAGATCTCACGAGCGGAACAAACGGGAATCCGGAGATGAGGGAAAAGGTGGTAATGCAAGAGACGCGGGGATAGAAAGAGAGGCAAGGGGCGGGGGACAGGAAACGGGGGGCGAGGGGGGGAGGCCGGGGGCAGAGGGAGAGAGAGACGCTGAAGAAGGGGGGAGATGCGGAGAAGGGCGTAAGACGTTCCGGGGAAGAGGCGGTAGAGAAGAGACGCAAAAGATAGGACGGGGCGAGCGGGAAATGAAGGCGACAAGAAGTCGGGGACATCGAACATAGGAAAAAGCGATTCAGGGAAAAAGAAGTCGTAGGAAAGATGCGCAAGGGCGGCAAATCCGTCGGCGAGACCGCGAACAGGAGAAAACACGCGCGAAATAAGAAGACAATGAAGACAACGAGTGGGAACTCGAGGTAAGACGGAAAAAGGGGCACGCAGAGATGAGGAGGGGCATGAAAAAGACGGAGGGGAAGAAGCGAGAAACAAGGAGGACATGGAAGAGTTGCAGGCGGGAAGGAGCCGATAATGAATACGGGGGAGAGACTGGGAGATACGCGGGAGATCGGGAAACAACGGGAGACAGGGGAACATGTGGTAGACTAGACCAACACGCGGAAGACAAGGAAAAACGCGGGAGATCAGGGGAGCATGAAGGATTCCCGGGGACAGCACGAGAGATCGGAGGAGATCAGGAGGATGGCGCCGAGACACGTGGGAAGCCGCGAGATAAGGGGGGAAGTCGCGGGAGAAGACGGAGGAGTGGTGAGGAGGAAAGGCGGGAGACGACAGGCAGGCGCGCACGACGAGAGGCAGGCGCGGGAGACGAGAGGCAGGCCCGGCGACGAGGGCCACGCGCGGGAGACGAGGGGGACGCGCGGGAGACGAGGGCCACGCGCGGGAGACGACGGGCGGGCAGGCGCGGGAGACGACGGGCAGGCGCGAAGAGGAGGGGCAGGCGCGGGGACACCAGGTGGAAGATGCCAAAGACCAGAGGATAAAAGAGAGGCCTGGGGGAAGTGGAAAGCCAGGGTGAAGACGCGGAAGACGAGTGACAAGACGCGAAGCCAGGCTAAAGACGCCGGATGACGGGGGCAGGAGCAGAGAGACGACGCGGTAGAGCCCGGAGACAACAGGGAAGGGCCGGGAGGACACACCGAAGATGACAGGAAAAGGCAAGATAATGGAGGGACAGCCCGAAATGTATAACGGCGACCTAGATAGGGAGTGGAAATAAGAGAACGTAGGCAAGAGAAAAGGGAGAGAGACGGAAGATAAGGGAAAATCGGGTGGAGATGAGAGGTGAAAGGCGAGAGATCGGGAACCGAAGGTGGCGAGATAAGAGGAAGAACCGAGAAAATGAGAAGACGAGAGAGATAATAGAACAACACAGTGAAAGGACGAGGGCAAGCGACGACAGAGGGGAGAAGCGAAGAACAAGGGAAGAGCCGAGAAGAGGGCAAGTTTAACGGGCAAGCCGACCAAGGAAAGATGTGAAGTAGGAAGAACACGAGAGACTAAGTAGACGGAAAATAAGCGAAGAGGGGGGCGAAGAGGGGGGAGCGGGGGGGTGTAAATACGGGCAGAGGGAACAACACAGCCGAAGGACGGGAACAAGGAGGACAATGATATGAGAAGTGGGACGGCTGATAACGAAGAGGTAGTGAGTGAGAAAAGAGAGGAGAGAGGAAAGAGAACGGGAACAGCAGAAGGAGAGAAACAAGGGAAGTAGAGAGGAAATAGAGGAGAAAAGACAATGGAAGGCAGGAGCCACTCGGTGAGGCGAGAGATACAACGGGACCAAGGGATGAGAGATACCAGACGAAGAGCGAAAACGGTAGAGCAGGAAAGACGGCAGCGCACGAATCAAGAGAAGAGGAGAAACAAGAAGGATGGAAAACATGCAGACATAATGGATCAAAACAGAGACGAGGGGAGAGGGAACGGATCAGAGGAAGAGAGGGTCAGCCACGACCAGAGAGAAGACCCCATTGCTTCGTCTGCTGAAAAGGATACTGATTCATCAAAGATGTCTTGCCCACTCTGCACATAGAACACGCCGATCAGATCAAGGCAAAAGTGTAAGCGAGGATTCATTCAGCAGGGCTTTAACTTTTCCTACTCCTATCGTCTTTCCCAAATGTATACAGACTGATAGTTACCCCACATACAGGCAAATTGACAGCACGTTCTCCTCGGGGAAAGACCGCAGTAAAGTAGGGATGAGAACGGGCACATCCCGATCGATCCCGAGACAAGGCGAAAGGACTTGCAATCCTCACCGGCGTATAAACTACAGGGCCAAGCCCCCCTGCCTCCCCACGCACGCACGCACGCACGAACACACACCAAAAGAGGAAAATAACACAACAGAAAACGACAAGAGTGATCTGAGACGTGATACACCGCCAAGGTAAGCAAGGTAATGCCGTGAGCAAGATGTGTAGAAGACCGCGAGGAAAGTGTGCAAGAGGCAATGGCAGCGATAACGATCATAACGCACCGGCCAAACCCCCTCCATTTGCCAATGTACCAAACAGACAGCCAAACGAGGAGGTGGAAAAGGAGAGGTAACCCATGGTAACGAAGGAGGATGAACTAGAACAACAGCTACCGTCTTCACCCGAATAGAACGCCCGGTCATTATCGCTGTATTTACACTGGAAGTTGGTCCAGATACACAGCTATAATGACCGGGCGTTCTATTCGGGTGAAGACGGTAGCATAATCAATCTAGCACACATCGGAAGGAAGGAAGTTGTCACGTCAAGGATGAGAAAAATGCTACTTACCCGCTGTCACCTAAGATGATCACCTTGAGCAGGGTGCGCTTACGAGACATCGTGGAAATCTCCGCTGCCGGGGAACGCGAGAATAAGAGAAAGAGTGAGAGAGAGGAAAGCGGAGAAGAAACGAGGACAAACCCTAACCCCGGCCTTCTGTGCGCAATTGAAAGCTGGCTCAGCCAATCACCAAAAAGCGCGGCAACACACGAACAGTTTTCGCGCCAGCTGCCCTTTTCCGCTGGATCGAAAGCCGCGCTCGCAACGACTAATCGAGTCAAGTTTTGACAGGAGAACCGAGTTGAGAATCACTTTCGCACTACTGCAATCACCGCCTTTTTTTTTGCCTACCGATGCAGTTTTGTCAGACGCAGTGCACCTTGCCCCAAGCGGCGAAAGCAAGCGAGGTGAAGCGAAGAACAGAACCACCAGACCACCACCAAAACACCGCTCACGCACGCAAAAGCACGCCACCAACACTCGCGCCACCGTCTTCTCGCTCTCCCTAAACACCTGTCCAATCTGTCTCGGTCGGGAAGCAACGATTGGCCCAAACAGAGCTTCACTGCCACAACTACCCTCAGTGCAACTAGTCCAGGATCTAGCGCCTATTTTCCCCTGTACATGGTCTCCTACATGTAGCACCTACTGTTGCAGAGCAGAGAATCCGAGTCCCCACGAGTACTGGTAGGCAACCGGAACCCACACCGTCCGCATACTCCAGGCCTGCCGGCCTCTCACAGAGGGGAAAGAAAGCAAACCGCGTCACAGTGAAGGATGGCTCTTTATTGCCCACAAACACGTAGGGGCTAGGCCATGACGCCACGTCTACTTCAACCAGAGCGGAGGCGGGGGGATGGAGCACAAGTGCGCGAGCGGGAGACAACATCGGACGGCCAGCCTGATTGGCGAGCCGCGAGACATGGGTGCGCCTGCACGTACTCGCGCGCGCCCATCCGACGGAGACGAGAGAGGCAGTTTGGGGCTTGTGCGCGCGAACGACACTCGCAGAGGAATCGGGAGACCAGATGCGTGGTGTACTATTCGGCTATTCGGAAAGAGCGGGTAACTATTCTATGGTCTCGAGTAACTATTCTATGGTCTAAGCCCTTGACCTCACTGCACAGAGGCTGGAAAAAGCCGTAGGCCACTATACCGGGGGGCCAAGCCCGTCGCCAACGGAACCCTAGATTTGCACGAGATCAAGGGGAAGGCAACCCTGAGGGCCTTGTATTCGTTGGGCATTTTGTGTCTAAAAAGTGCAGTGAACTTTCTTTCTTCTACATCTATCTACAGCTACATATATCTATCTATCTACATCCCTATCCCTAGCCTTGTATTCGTTGGGCATTTTGTGTCTAAAAAGTGCAGTGAACTTTCTTTCTTCTAGGTCTATCTACAGCTACAAATATCTATCTAGCTACATCCCTATCCCTATCCCTATCCCTATACTACTAAACCTGTCTCTTATACACATCTAGATGTGTATAAGAGACAGATCTACAGCTACATATATCTATCTATCTACATCCCTATCCCTAGCCTTGTATTCGTTGGGCATTTTGTGTCTAAAAAGTGCAGTGAACTTTCTTTCTTCTAGGTCTATCTACAGCTACAAATATCTATCTAGCTACATCCCTATCCCTATCCCTATCCCTATACTACTAAACATGGGGCCCAACAGAAACCAGGTGCCTCCGCGCGGGACCGGTAACGGGCAGCGGCCAAGGGGGAACCAGTGGCACTCGGGGCGAGGGCCGGAGAAATCCGGCAGGAACTGGCGACAACCGCGACGAGTAGGGGAAAAAAAGGCCGTGGGGACAGCCGCGACGAGTACGAGGGCCGACTAGCCCAAAAAAGGTTGTGGAAAACGGGGTGAGGGCCGGAGAAATGTCAGCGCGCGGGGCTGAAGCGACGCGAATGGCAGGGTGGAGCGGGAAATGGCATGGCATGAATTGTCTACCGGTGAGGCGACGAGCGGGGCGGCGTCCTTTCGTGCGGGAGGAGGGGGAGGAAGGGAGGGAGGGAGGGAGGGCGGAATGGAGGGGGGCACAGAGAGAGAGAGAGAGAGAGAGAGAGAGAGAGAGAGAGAGAGAGAATACTTCCATCGATTGGTTGAACAACGCACCAGCCAACAGGTAAGTCTCCAAGCCCGCGGCACTACTTCCATCGATAGGATGAGCAAAATCGATAGAATCTTCCACTAGAACATCGAAATATACACTACTACACGTGTGTGTGTGTGTGTGTGTGTGCGTGTGTGTGTGTGTGTATGTGTGTGTGTGTGTGTGTATGTGTGTGTGTGCATGTGAGAGAAAGAGAGAGAGAGATAGGGTACTTCCATCGATAGGATGGTAAGTCTCCAAGCCCGCGGCGCTACTTCCATCGATAGGATGAGCAAAATCGATAGAATCTTCCGCTATAACATCGAAATATACTTTACAACACGTGTGTGTGTGTGTATGTGTGGTAAGTCTCGACTGATCACAGCAGGACCTAAGCAGCCACTTCCACCCGTATTTTTATAAGTTACAAGGCAACACAACTTGCTTCAGTCAGTTACCAATATCGACTGATCGTGGTCACATATCCTTCTCAAGCCACTGAAAGTGAGAGCAACGAGAATAAAACCCAGCACCTACGCTGTGTTGCTCAAGCATGAAATTTACTGACCTAGCCAACGGGACACCCTAGTAAGGTCTACTAACCGATGACACCCACAAAGAAACTACTGGTAATACACATCCGACAAAATTCTCATTAGTGTTGTAGTTTGTATATATTTTTAATTTATATTGCTTACGTGGGTTGATGGGGAAAGTTGTTCGGAGATTATTCGATATGAACCGATAACTTCATATTTGCAGAATATGCATTTTACTGCATTAACTCATCAATGTTATTGTTGTTTTTTCTTAGTTCTACCTAAATATTATAGTCAGTTATTAAAATCAAACTTCTCAACCTTCATCTGCGCTTAATATACACATCACTATATGTCATGCAACACAAAATCATATCCCCTAACAACAGAAAAATTCCCATGAGAAATGAAAGTTGAAAAAACATTCCATAAAAAAAAAAATCCTTCATATTTATATATTATCATTCCAATGTTTGTCAAATTCTACAATTTTCAATTTAATTTGATAAGTTCCCGTTTAAATATGAGTTTTCCCGTCCAACTAAATCTATTCGTTCAAGATGGAATGAAAATTTGGACGAGTTTATGAAATGTCTTAATTAGACTTTCATTCTACTACAACAAATATCGTCTAATTTAGATTGGATTAACCTATTTATGACTAAAAATCCTTACTTAGAATGACAGTCCAATTAAAATATTTCATGAACTCATCCAGACTTTCATTCCATCTCTAGCATGCAGTTCAAATAAGAAGAGATACCTCATTCTTGGAAGGAAAGTTTTTAAGTAAGACAAAAAATTTTAAAATTGGAATGACATTTTTTAAGATGGAATGAAAATTTAAAATTTATAATGCAATTTTACTATAGAATGATTATTTAACTCTGGGAAATTTTTCTATTGAATGAGAACTATCCTGCAACTCTCGCGATAGAGGTCCACAACCACCTTATTCCATTTATTATAGTCAGTTCTAAGTCACTCAACATAAATCCACACCCCGTTCTCTCACTTACCTCCTTACGATTCAAGCCCACATCTTTATTATGCACTTACTCTCACTAAGGACATCACCACCCTCCATGATGATGCTTGGTCCTGCCATCACCAAACAGAGCACTAAGGTAATCAACTATATGCACTTTCACTATACAAATTCTTGATCTATGCTCTTACCGTTTCAATGCTTCGTGAGCTGAACAAGTATCAGACATAAAACAACTTACTACGCCAAAACATTCATTGATTTACATTTTTACAGCTCGTAAAGGTTTCATTTATACACTTTAAAACTTTCAATGTTCAATTCAACGTTAACCAACAAAACAATTCCCACAAGAAATGAAAGATGAAAAAATATTATATTTTTAAAGAGTTATTCATATTTTAAAATCATGGATAATTTGCAAAATACCCCCATAAGTTGAGATATATATCGAAAAATCCCTGAAAGGTGTGGGTAGAGCGGAAAGCCCTTTTAGGACGAAATCTTTGTGTTGTGCTCCTGTCAGGCTGCAACGTTGCAATCTAAACCACCTCGTTTGGGCGTTGGCCTTTTGTAATAGCGCATAGGAAACGTTGGCAAGTACTGAGACATTTTACAAAGTTGAACGGTAACCCGTAGGGATATATTTCAAAGATCGGGGTCCACTTGTCGCTAGGTGCATTTCACAAAATAGTTTTTTTGTCAAAGAGGTATTTCGTTCTACCCACATCTTTTAGGGACATTTTGACATATAGCTCAACTAATGGAGGTATTTTGCAAATTATTCCTAAAAATAATCATTCCAAAATTTTCAGTTTTATTTGACAATTTTTTAAAACAAAATGAATTTTCCCCTTCCAACTCTATTTTGTTGAAGATAGAATCAAAGTCAGGTCGAGTTCATGAAATGTTTTAATTAAACTTGCATATAACTACAACAAATCTATTATAATTAATATTTTATTAAACTATTTATGACTATAAATTTTTATATCGAATAATAATCATATAAAAATATCTCATAAATTAATCCAGACTTTCATTCTATCTCTAACATGTAATTCAAACAATAAGTGATGCCTCATTTTTAGAATAAAAACTTTAAAGTAAAACGGGAAAATTTTTAAAAATAATATTTTTATGATCTAATAAAATATTTAATTTCACAATGTACCGAAGTACGAAATTATTATTTAATTATATTATTTTTTTACGTAAACGTTGCTGTCGAGACATTTTTGGTTTGGGGGGGAAGGGAGACCGACGCATTAGGCCAATGTGGAATGGAATGAGCGAGCAGCCATGGTAGGAAAAAATTGAAACAATGCTTTATTTGAATAATACATTATTTCTTAATCATATTCAGCAGCATAGACTTACAAAATGGCACCACGGACACGCTCAGGCCCCCCTCCACGCACACTCACACATTCCCCCCCTCATCTCTCTCTCTCTCTCTCTCTCTCTCTCTCTCTCTCTCTCACTCTTTTTTATGCACACACACATTGTCGCACAAACATCCCAAAATTTTTTTTTTTTCTCTCTATTTTTCTTTCATGTTTTCTTTGTTTATAAATAAAAGTAAAAAAAAAACATAAAAAAGTTCAAAATCAATTTTAATAATTCAAAAAACAAAACTATGATTTGTGCATTTGCGCTCTCATTGACGTAATATATTTGTTTGGGGAGAAGTGCACAATCGTGTCTGTGGGCATTTGAGGGTCAAAATGATCGAACCCATAACCTTCCTGTTGCAACGTTATTACTTTATTCACTGAGTTATCATGTTTTATTCAAAAAAATGCAACAAATTGATATATTGTGCAAACACAGTAGTACAATATAGAGCGTGACGTGGTAAGAAAGTGTGGTGTCGTGGGTGAAGTGGTCACAAAAATTTGATGTGTATTAATTTTTTCGAGAAAGTCATATTTTTTATTCATTTTCGAAGAGAATAACTATATATTCAATATAGTTTTTGAGCGAGTTTTGAACAGTTGCAGTATTATAATATGTGGTAGTGAATAAATTGATGTACCATGATAACTGCAGTTGTA